GTTGTTAGTGGGGTTTTCCCCTAGAATACTATGCAGCAGTAAAAAGGAAACATCGCTTATCCTTTGAGACAGCATTGAGGGACCTGCAGAGTTTTATGCTAAGCAAAATAAGCCAGTCAGAGAAAGACAAGTATCATGTGATCTCACTCATATGTGGAATCTAATGAATCATGTGGAATCTAATTCCCAATCTCTTGAACAAAACAAATCCAGAGTCATAGAAGCATAGAACAGACTGCACAATCTCAGAGGGAAGGTGAGGGAGGGTGAGTGGGAGGGAAGAAGAGATCAACCAAATAACTTCCATGCATATATGCATAACCCATGGTGCAGACAGTAGGACCGTGAAGGTCTGGGTGGAGGGGGAGGCTGGCTAGAAGAGGTCAATGGGGAAGAAGGAGGATTATGTAATATTTTGAAAAATAAGGATTTAAAAATATATATACTTTTATCATTTAAAAAAAAAGATTTTTTTAAAGGCCAGGGTTTAAATTCTGTTAGTTTGATAGTATGGAAGCATAACTTTGAATGAGTAAATCTCTGATTACTGCTTTTACATATGTTTGTTGGTTGCTGTATTTCCCCTTTTGTGACTTGCTTGTTCATTGGCAGTTCCTGAGGCTATTTCGCTTTTGGATGGTCTTTTGAGCCTTTCGTTTTAAAGGCAGATTTTTGTTTCTGTGCTAAGAAACTGCATTCCCAAGCAGAATTTCTTTCTCAGGTCCTGAGTGCTTTCTGATCAGAAACAGAGTTTGGTATAGAGCCCTCTCTTATTGTATGGTTGCTTTATAAACGCTGTTTTTAATAAGTACAGAAACTATATTGAAGTTTGTCCTTGGATGAGAGTTTATCACTGTTGGCCTTTGGGTGAACTTGGAGCCTGAGCTGTTTCATTCAAGGCAGCATGATGTCATCTAACTCACAGATTTCTGTTGCTAGAAAAAAGCAACATGTTCCCCTAAATAACCTAAAGGGCTGAGTAATGCTGGCACAACATTATTCACCTCTCCGGCCTCCGCTAAAGGCTTCAGCATGGCGAGGGTTTTATTGTTTCCTGAGGGTCGGTGAGGAGATGGTAGAGAGCAGGGGACCCAGCTCACACTCACATCTCCGAAATAGATCCATCTTTGTTTCTTCATATTAAATATCTCTTGAGTTTTTTCTGGGCCCAAATATTCAGCATATGAACGTATTAGAGGGTTTTTAGCAGAAGCTAAAGCCAAGAGCTATATCTCACATAAAACACTAGAAACCACTTGTTATTTAAAAAAAAAAAATCATTATTTTATTATAATTGGTCTACAATCTTATGTTGGTTATATTAATATATAACTAGGTTAATTTGGATCAGCATTTCCTTCCTTATTTGAGAAGCAGATTTCTCTGATTCCACAGCACTGAGATTCATTTCGGGGAGTAGTACAGCGCTTTAATGTCTCCTAAATTTGGGAGCATGGAATTCACCAGCAACAAAACCTGTAGTTCATTAGCTATGTCGTCCGAAGCTTCCAGAGCTCCAGCTAAGAAAATTTATTACTGGGTGTTCAAGAAATGGATGGGAGAATAGAACAAGAACAGAACAGAATCAAATGGATTTCCCTTCCTTGTTTTTATAAATAAGCACTACCCTGTGTTCGATATTGTGCTTTGTGTAGTTTATGTAAAAAGGATGCTTATGACCCATATGTGGTTAGTGTTTTAGCTTTGATATGCATTGTCAAGTCTTTTTTCTTTCATTGCTTTAAAAGCAAATGGTGCTGGGGGCAAATAAATTTTTTTTTTTATTCTTTCATCTTAATGGAACACCTAGACCCTATGTACCATGTTGTAAACTCCATAGTTAGGAGATTATTTTTTCCTGAATACCTAAACCATGTCGAACACACTAAGAAAAGTAATTACCTGCCCTAATATTAGGTATATTCCATATACAGATGATAAAAAAGTATCTCCTCCAGTTTTCAAACCAGAATACTAGATTTGTTGCGAATGAACTTAGGTTCCTGAGAGCCAGCTGTTAAATTTGGGGTAATTTAGAAAGAATTTGATTCCTTGAAATTGAGGATGTACTGCTATTGTTTTGGAGAAAACACTCTGAAATGTCAGCAGGTTAACATTTCTCCAGGACTAGGGTTTTCAGCAGAAGCCAAAGCCAAGAGCTATAGCTCACATAAAACTCACAGGACTAGTAGTAACTCATTGTTGGAATCTTGGTTCTTCAAATTGCATATCCTAACCTATAAGTATTACCCTAAATCCCTCCCATTAAACCATGTTAAAAAGGGAGACTTTAGAGTCACTTTCAGTATCTTAGCAATTAGTATTTGAACAACTTAATATGTTGTACCTATAGTTTTAACAGCATCTAAGTCAATGTTTTTAACTTCCTCTAAATCATAAATGCTGTATTTTATGTGGGTAATTTTTAAAACTTCTATACCAATTGATCCTTACATTGTAGTGCAGAAGACACCCAAGAATACAAAACCAGAGAACTCATGGAAACAATAGAGTTGAGAAGTGATATCACCAATAGATGTTTTCTATTTTGGAATATTGAGGATTTTGTTATGTGGAATTCAGGCTTAAAAGCATGATCAAAAGACCATTCAAATTTTTTTGTTCATAACTTTACTTAAGTAATGCTTACTTGGAATTCTTTGGGGTTTGGATGAACAAAACCAATTTGCAAAGGTCGGCACTGAAGCACATTGCGTTTTGTTTACTTTGCACATAAACATAAAATATATATAGAAACACAGGTATACATCCCCTCCCACATTTATCACTGTAAGACAGCAAAGTACACTTCATGATTTTTTTTTTAACTTTTATTTACTCACTAGTAGCATGATCTGCTTTCCTGAGGACATGATATAAACAAAGTCTGGCTCACAGTTACTTCATAAAGATCTGCCCATCCTGCCATGGCTTGTTGGTCTATACTCACCAAAGGCCTGTGTCGAGGCAGTACTTTTGAAGTTATATTCTGTAAAATAAATTGACAGGGTATCCTTTTTATTTAGAGGGATAGGCTTGTTTTATAAAGGCGGGGATGGAACATGGCAGATGGCAGTTTATTTTGCACCTTTATTCTAACATGTGGAAAAAAATTAATCAATTATTACCTTCTACAAAATTGCATCTAAACTTGATAGGGGCTTACATAGTGCAAAGATAAGATGGGAGAGTTGGGGACATTTTATCCTTGTAACCACTGAGACATTCTCTCCTCTCCCCCCCCCCCCCCATTGAGTAATTGACTGTCTTAGGCATTGTTTCTTATCTCCCAGTGGTTTAAGGTATTCATATGTGTCCTTTAAAATCTTGCCCTAGGTCTGTCTACTTCATTTCTGTTTCATTAACATTTAGTTTTTCAAGATTCCTGTCCTGGCAGAAGTGCAGTGAGATAGCATTCTCAGTCACTGCTAGTGGAAATGTATAGTTCTGGGAATATGCATATAGGAATTTAAATATGATCCTATCCTTTGATTTCATTTTTAGGAATATAACCTAAGGAAGATGCATGTAGAAGTATATTTATATACCTCTGAGTGGTGGAAATTATGAGATTATTTTCTGTTTCTGTTTCTCATTATTTTCTATTTTTCCACATTTCTGCAATACTTCTTCCTCTTTTCTTCCATCTTTTTTCCTTACTCTATTTTTCCACAGTATTTAATTATTTTTTTTATTATTATTATTAGTATTAAAATGGTATATGTCAGTAGAGAATGTATGGGAAATCTCTGTATCTCCTGCTCAATTTTACTGGGAATATAAAATTGGTTTTAAAATAGTCTACTTTATTATAACATTTAGCAAATAAATATAATGGGGCTTTAAAAAGAAGAGGCTATGTCTTACTAGGTTAACATGTGGTTGATAATAGAAACTCAATAAATCATTGTTGAATTATTTTTCCTAAGCCAAGTTTACTGCAGTAGGCTCTTTGTATTTGAAGCCTATATTCTACTGTCACTGGTAAAAGGGTTCTTGCCCCACCCCCTTCAATATAAAAATCTTGTTTAGACTCATCAAGGTAAGAGATGAGTCTAAACAAGATTCCAAAGAAGAGGTTTACTGTTCAGCTGGTGTGGGTCAGTGGTTCAACCAGGAACCAGTAGGCTGCCGCTTCAGTTCCCAGTCCTGGAACATGCCCTGGTTGCAGGTTCACTCCCCAGTGGGTGCTGTGCAGGAGGCAGTCAATTGATGATTTCCTCTCTCATCAGTGTTTCTGTTTTTCTCTCTCTCTCTCTAAAAATCAGTTAAAAAATATTTGTTAAAGAAGAGGCTTACTGAAAACATGGTGGAGGGGCAGGAGAACAGAGCGAGTGTGATGCTTCGAGAGGGAGAACATAGTAGAGAAACCCAGTGAACTGGTACTGGGCTTTGGCTTATGCAGGGCTGGGTTCTTCACCCGGGTGCAGAGGAGATTTATTTGCTTTCCAGGCATCAACCGTGTAGGCATAGAGCGGAGTTCTTTGGGGAGCGCCTGAGGAGAAACTTGAAACTTACCTATGAGAGGCTTAAAAACAAGCTGAAGAGCATTCTTATAGTTAGTGGTTTATTTCTTTTTACAGTGATATGTCATGAGTAAATTCCTGCAGGAATTTTTTAAAGTCTACTTGTAAAAAATTATTTATTTTTTAGAGAGAGAGGACAGTATAGAAACATTGATATATTGTTCCACTTATTTATGCATACATTGGTTGATTCTTGTATGTGTCTTGATCAGAATGGAACCCACAACCTTGGCATATCCAGACAATGCTCTAATCAGCTGAGTTACCTGGCCAGGGCTAAAGTGTACTCTTAATGGAGTATCTTTCTTATTCCAAAGACATTGAGTCTTTTTTGTTCATTAATTATTTGAGTTGTCTTTGTGCATTAAATGCCATATTTTATAAAATACCACAATATCCAGGATGGTTGTGCCTGCATTCATTTTCCCATTGCATGGATTAAAGCGATTTAAATATGTTTTCTTTTTCCTCTAGTGGTTCCCCCTGGAAGTCCTGGGCCCATTACTCGGCACGGGTCCTATGACAGTTTAGGTTCTGACCACAGTGGACAGGAAGATGAAGAATGGCTTTCTCAGGTAAAACTCTGAAATGTCTGGCCTGTAAGAATGAAAAAAAAACAGGAATCTGTTGTCTGTTTCTATTCTTGAATTTTAAAAGTATTTTCCTTAGAGGAAAATGGACAGAACTGGGACCTTTTATTTAGGATTGCTAATAAGCTAATCAGTTGTCTTTCCATATTAAGATTTTTTTCCTAAATACTGTTGCAGGAATATATAACACCTATTATTTTATACACACACACGTGTTTGTGTGCATTAGCTTTCATGCAAAGGGCATAAAGTACACTTACCTTTCAAACAGTCTGGTTTTATCCCTCAGGACCTTGGATTTTAGATGGACACTTTGGATTAACATAAGAATTGGCCTTGTTAAAACTGAAATCATTCAGCTTTCCCTGGGATTTGTTTTGTGGGGCCAACATTTTCTGAAAAGCAGGCCCATACTTTGGTCCGGGAAGCTTAGCATTCTATTCTGTGAGTCCTGGTTTGCCCGACTGGGTCTCCTCTCCTCGGCTCATGTGGGGCTGCGTCCCCCGGTCTCTGCAGCAGCCCCGCAGCAGCTTCCAGAGACCCTTCCTCCCGGGCCAGGTGAAGCTGTCTTCATCTCAGGGCTTTGAAATAAAAGATACTTGGGCAGCCCTCAAAATGATGAGATTACAAATGACTTCATTACAAATCCTGTTATGTCTGCTTCAAAGCTGACATCATTCGGTGAAGCGAACGACCTGTCTCCGATTACCAATCCAGCGGCTTTTCATCAGACAGGTGCCCCGCCGCTTCACTGCTTTCACAGGGAGGGCGCCCGAAAGCTAACCGGAATCTGGATGCCGGAGAAACAAATTGCTTCTGGGTGACACATGTCATCACGCCTAAAATACTCACAGGACGCTCCTGGAAGGAGGGTCAGTGATTCAGTTCCTGGCAGATAATGGAACATCCTTTTTGAGGATAATACAATAAAGTTAAAAAAACAAAACAAAACAAAAACCACCAAAAAACCACACACACACACACACACACACAAAAACAAAACAAAACAAAAAACAAAAAAAAAAAAACAACACACAAAACACACACACACACACACACACACACACACACACACACACACATACCAAACCCAGAAGATGGCTGGCAGAAAAACCACTGCCCTTCACCTCAACTTTTCAATTAGGAAAAGGGGTAATGTGTGCTGTCAGTGTGAACATCCGCACAATATGTTTGTCCCGCACACAACAGGGGAGTGAATAGGAACATCTGGCCATCGCCTCCGTGAAATGTCGTGGGCATCTGTTTACCTCTCGGCTCTGTGACACTGATGGTTTTGAGCTCAAAACGCCCAGCATGCTTTCTCTGTGGCCTAATTTACATTGCTGAATGCAACTGCTCAACTCTGAAATCACTGTCCAACTGAGTGGTTGTCTCCCCGTGACCAGCGGGAATGTGAATATTGTTCCCAGAGCACGATGCTTTTATTGCCCTTCAGAACTTACAAACCCAGAGCTGTACTCCGTGAGCCTTTTCACTTAGGTTTTTGGTAAGAACTAATCACCGCAGCCAGACTTGTGATTAAATATAGAGGAACTCAGGGCAAAGGAAGGCATATGGGAAGTCAGTTCCATCAAGTACGTTCACAGGCGTGGATGTAAGGATTAGAAGACATTGAGAAATAGTCTATAACCAAAGGTTTGCATATGTGCATCTTACACACGTTGCTCATTTGTAAAATTGCATACTACGTCTGTTTTAAAGTTTTACCCAGTATCTTCTACTCTGCTCTCTCTAAATAGTTTCACTTAATATTGGTGCATTCCCAGCCCCTTCCATTGACTCAGCATGGAATTCATACACCATTTTGGTTTTACTGTTTTGTGGCTCTTAAAATACCTGTGTCACTGTTCATGGTAGCCGAGAACACTCTCTCTTAATATAAAAGTAGATTATGGCTTTAAAAATACATATATATTTTATTGATTTTTTTACAGAGAGGAAGGGAGAGATAGAAAGCTAGAAACATCGATGAGAGAGAAACATCAACCAGCTGCCTCCTGCACACCCCCAACCGGGGATGTGCCCGTAACCAACGTACATGCCCCTGACCGGAATCAAACCCGGGACCCTTCAGTCCGCAGACCGACGCTCTACCACTGAGCCAAACCGGTTTCGGCAGATTATGGCATGTTTTGATAGGAGTTAGTAAATATTATATTATTTAAATGGAATTTCAGGTGGTGAAAATTATTTTACATCTATCTCCACCTGTCCTCCTTGGATAGTTTAAAAATAACTTCAAGCATGTCACAAACTTGGTCCTCAGTGCAGGAATCACTTTTAATCTGTGGATTTATAGATGCAGTGTTCAGTGCATGCCCAGGATGGTAAGTACTGTCCAGAATGACTGAGAAAGGTAGTTCCTAGGGAGTTGACTCTAGTCAAATGAGACAGGCGGCTGGTCCTTTTACTCCCATGTGATTTTTGTTTTGTATATGTGTGGGTCTGGTGTATGTGTATATTTTCACCTGTGTGTGTATACACATATTTATGCAAAAATGAAATTTTTGCTTATTTTTTTGTGAAAACTTGTAGGAGGGAGATAGTGAATGTCTGCTTAGGCTGTGATTATCTTTGCCTTTTGACTGTGGGTGCTCTGGCCCTCCTTCACTTGGTCAAAATGAACTCCTTGGAGAATATTTGTATTCAGGGACCGGATGGGGGAGGATTGTGAAAGGCTCTCAAAGGTCCTACCTATCGCTTCAGGTAGAGATTGTGACACACACTGGACCCCACCGGCGTCTGTGGATGGGCCCACAGTTCCAGTTCAAAACCATCCACCCCTCAGGGCAGACCACAGTCATATCGTCCAGCTCGTCAGTGTTGCAGCCTCATGGCTCAAGTGATACTCCACAGCCCCTTTTGGATTTTGATACGGATGATCTTGATCTCAACAGTCTCAGGTAAGAAAGAAGTAAGAACTAGCGGAGTCACTTGACTGGGTTTCTACTTTCAGTTGTAATGAGCATCTTCGGCAACATTTACATTTCCCCATTTGGGAACAGCGTCCTATTGCAGAATTCATGCTCTGTATTTTGTGATTCCTTATTGTTGGGGATTTCAGGTGAGATCTCATTAGATAAGGTGTGCTTCGGATTATATTTCCCTAATGCTATGTTCCTGAAACCCTTCCTGAATTTTCGTCAGGGACTTTCCTTCTCCTTAAACTAAAGAGCTCCCACTATTTGTTATCTAGCTGTACACCTGAAACCTATGTAATTTTATTATCGAATGTCACCCCAGTAAATTCAATACAAAATAAACGAAAAGACCAAAAAATAAATTTAAAAGAAATAAACAGATACATAAAAATCACTATGCAATTCAACATCCCCACTATTTAATGCTGCATTTCCATTACCTCTGTCAGTTTGTTTTTATTTTTCTCTTATCATGAAAAAATTTCAAGCTTATAAATGTGTATAAAATAAAAGAGAATAATAGAATAAACCCCAGGTGTTTGTCACCCAGCTTCAACACATCAATTCTTGTCCAGTCTTGTTTTATCCATTGCACCAGCCACACCTCACTCACAACTCTGGATTATTTAGAAACTCTGTTATAAATTGAATTAGTATTAGGAAACTTATTAGGCCACATAAATTTTTGAGGCCAGGAGGGAGTTTTACTTTGCCTCACCTCACCATAGACTAGCTTTTTGTTTCTCTCAAGAACCAGAGAACATCTTTTGCAGAAATTTCAAATAAACTCCTCCTCTTTTCTCTGCCCCAACCGTTTTACCTCGGCTCAGGTAAAATAAGCTGGGATGAATGGGCATTGGGTTGTACACCATATTGCCCATGACGGCAGTGATCAGTGCTTAATATCATCATTCCAACTTCTGGTATGCGATCAAATGAATTTGCACTTTACCTCCCTTCCATTTCTTTTGTATAACAAACACACATTTAAACTGTGCTTTCAATAGCTCCGATCTCTTTCTGCAGCTTATACTTGGCATTTTAGGCTTGTGTAATCTGTCCCATGGTGATTATTAACCTCTTCTCTTCCATCAGTATCCACTAGCAACTCCATGCTTCAGTCAAATCCTCCTCCTCACTGCACCTGCATTTCTCATGCTCAGTCACAAATCCAAGGGCTTTCTTGTTCTACTTCTTGTGCCTCATGGGCACCGCTTGCTCCTCTGCATGTATACATACGCTGTTACTGTATGCCCGTGCGATTCCTGTTACCCTGTGACAAACTCTTCATCTGCTGTGGACCATTCATTCATTCCTCTGCTACTCCATTCGGAGCCTTTATTACCTTCTTCATTTTGATATGTTAGTTATCTTTTCCTCAGTCCATGTGCTATACCATATACCCACACACACACCTTGTATTTCACGTTTTGTTTCTGCTTATTCCTAAAATAATTGTGATACATGATTAATTTTCAGCAAATGCTTATTGAATAAACAAAGTTCCAAATGCATGCATATATTGTTATAGCACTTTTTTTTATTCTATTAAGTTGCTTAGGAAGCTTCGATTTTTTAGTCTTACATATAATTGTATATTTGTGTTATTAATATAATACAGCTACAAATAGACCCTTGGTATTTATAGATTTACCATTCATAAGCAATTTGAAATTGTATTTAGTAAATTGCAGTTTTTCTGGGATTCTATTTGATTCTTTCATATTAATTGATAATTTTATGGAGGTAACTCAGTCAGATAATTGTGATCCTAACTAAATCCATGCTAGTCACCTCCAACACAGTTTTAAAAATATATATATATTTTATTGATATTTCACAGAGAGGAAGGGAGAGGGATAGAGAGTTAGAAACATTGAAGGGAGAGAAACATCAATCAGCTTCCTCCTGTACACCCCCCACTGGTGATGTGTACTCAGCCAACATACATGCTCTTGACTGGAATTGAACCTGGAATCCTTCAGTCCTCAGGCTGACACTCTATCCACTGAGCCAAACCAGTTTGGGCACTTCAACACAGTTTTGCTATCTTATACTTATTGACTTATATAAAGTAACTTTCACTGAGAGTTTTAAGGCAGTTACTAAAAAATGTGTATCTAGTATTGCTGGCTTTTAGAGAAGGCATTGCTTGGTACGGCATTTTTCTTGAATTAGAGGATTCTCAGAACTCTTCATATTTGCCTCTTGCAAAAGCCAAAGATCTCTATGAAGTATTTTGTTTTCTCTCCCAATCTACTTAATATATTTCTTTAGATTAATGTCAAATTTCCAATCCCTTACTTAAAAGATATTAAGTAACATACAAAGAGAAGTGGTGGTGGGGGAGGCGGGTCAGGAGTGTAGAAAATTTTTGCTGTGCCTTGTGCAAGAGTCAGGGACCACGGCTCCCCTGTTTGCCCTGCTTCAGAATGAATGGTTCTTTAATGGATTGGGCTATACCAGCATTCCTGATTTAAGGTCTGTTGTAGGAAGGGACAGTTTTGATGCCAGTAACATATGTGAATTAAATTAAATTGCATTGCAGGATTCAGCCAGTCCGCTCTGATCCAGTCAGCATGCCAGGGTCATCCCGTCCAGTCTCAGATCGAAGAGGAATTTCCACCGTGATTGATGCTGCCTCAGGTAGAAAAGTACCTCCAAAATGGTTACTGGGTAGTTCTGTGCATTTTTAAATTCCCTTTCTTGCACAGTGTGAAGAATGATAATATTTTACCTTTCTCTTTGTTTTTAGTTTTGTTTTAGGACGTGTGTGCTTGCGTGTGTGTGTGTGTGTGTGTGTGTGTGTGTGTTTTACAACAATACTGTACCGACATTTGTTGCTGAACAGTGCCATGCATTTACATATTGTTGAGGTTGGTGAATGATGTGGTAGAGTTGGCACTTGATTAAATGTAATGAACACAGTATTGAAGGCTACAGGGTTGACAACTGCTTTGCCTTTGATCTTTTAAATGTGGAGAAGCAACCTTGACAGAGAACGTAAATACAATATATGGATTCAATTTACTCAACCTGTTGAGTGTCAAAGTGCCTGATCTGTGGAAGGAGAGAGTCCAAATGCTGAGGCTTAAACGGTCCTATTATTGAAAGCATGTAGTTTAGAAATTCATTAACTTAGCTCTAGTCTATCTATCACAGTTATTAACTTCCTATCCTTGGGCCCACGCCAGGATGATGTATCATTAGTACCTGGAAGCCGGTCTCTGCCTCGGTTAGGTGAGAGTTGCTGCATCAGTATTGTAAAGCTGTACTCTGCCAGCTCTGCCAAATATAGAAACTATGTGTAACGGTTTTCTCATCTCCAAATGGAGTGATAAAGAAAATAAGGACAGCAGTGCTTCGTATTGTGGAGCAGCTGCCGAGCATCTGAAGATAGCACACAGCAGGGTTTCATCAAAAACATCCCTTACAAGTAGAATTATTAAATACTTGGCATTAGGGAGACAGTTGGGTCCGAGAGGATTTTAATCTACAGCAATTTTAAAACCCCCAGAGACGGCTGATTTGATTGAGGCTTAAACTGTGAAAGAAAATGGGGAGGCGGAGGGGGAAACCCCAAAACTGATTTGTGAAGGTCATTTTTCAAGGACCCTAGCTTCTGTTTCTGACTGTCTCTGGGTGGATTTTGAAGTTTGAAAGCTAATGGCTTTTGTACGTTTTGTTCTCTTTCTGATTTATATTTTTGGGGTCTGTGGATTGCACCTTGTGTCTGATGGAGCTGTCCACATCCAGGGCTCTGCCCTCAGTTTAAGGTAGACTCTTACACTGGAGCACCCATTCTTGTTCTTCGATGTAACTTGGCAACCACGGCTGACTCCTGGAAACAAGGGCAGAAATGCGTCCCTCCACCATCGCTCCTGTCTGCTGAATGAGATGTTGAGATGAGGTGACTTAGACAATACATCTTCTTGGCTATGTCCATGGGAAGATGCTAACAGGCTCTGCTTATCTGGGGTTATCACTTATAATTGTGAATCCTGGAAATGATGTATTAACCTGAAGTCTTTCATTCAAGATTAGAGTTTTAGACTTTGTTGGGGTTTTCAAATATTCCTAAACTGCCGTATTATCACTGTGTTAGAGTCAAGTGACTAGCAACCATCCACGTGAAACACATGCCACTAAAGAAGTTGCCATATATGTTATTAAAAGATGCCCTATTCAGCTCTGTCCTCTGAGGTAATAAAATGTTTGTTGTGTAGCACTATCTCCATTTTAACTCTTCATAAAGTTATCTCATAAGTCCCTCCCCACCGAGAGGGACTTCAGTGAACTGTAAGAATCATGGTTTTGCTTAACTCTCACAAGAAGAGTTTTAAAATCGATGTTCGAATACGGGAATGATGTCTTTGCCCTTGACTTACATTTCTATCAGACACACGTCGTAGGCGCTTCTGGGGTGTTGTTTGACAGCTCAGAGCTCCTGCCTAAAAGCACCAATCTTGTGAGCAGAGAAAGGACCTCTTGGTGACCGGCTCTATTGTTACTTTTCTAGGATTACTTTCACTCCAGACAGTCATAGCTTATTTTTGGAAGACGCCAAAGCAATGATCTGTGTGTGCTTTCTCTAACTGAGCTAAAGAAACCCCATAGGTGAGGAACTGGACTTTTATGAATGATTCTCTCCCCCCAATTCTCTACTTCTCTACTCCTTTTTTCCACACATTTTTTTTTAAATGAGTGAATAATATTTTGTTGCGGAAACTTTATCTACTTTATCTGATAGGACCACTGACATAACAGATTTACTTTTCTGTTGACATTTAACATGATAGAGGCTAAATAAATGGTTTGGATCTTTTTGGAAACATTTATGGGAAAATTCTGTTTTTGATTCTTCTATTAAAAAAGAGTCTAATGATTTTTGTAATTGCTCCTGAACTAGGAAGTGCTTCCCCAGATATGGCCCATGTGTTCGAGTCAGCTGCATGCTGTGAATATGCTTATTTGGAGCTTTGTTTGGCTTTGCTTAGAGACATGAGCAGCGTGGCGGCACCTCTGATGATGCGTCCGGCTTTGTATTACCTGCAAGCAATTTGGACGGCGAATGTACTGTCCTTTCCATTGTTCCTGTGGCACGTTTCTTAGCTCTCCCTCTGTCTAAACTGGTGGTGATACAGTTATTTTTCATACAATCACTTTTCAGAGGCTTAGAATTTAAAATTTCATTGTGATGCGATTAAGTCTTTTGTTAATGTAACAGTTTTTGAAGTGAAAATTTGTTATTTGAACCTTGGCTCTGCGGGTTATGTTTTAGATATCTATGTATGATGTATTACGCTGGTCACGCTATTCTGTTGAAACTAAAAGGGATCATCAGAGTTGTGGCACTTTTGCTAAGAAATATTTCCCCCAACAAATTTCTTGATTATCTAGTGTGTCTATGCTTCACTACTTCCCATGGAGCACATTACTAAAACATAAGGTTTTATGTTAACTTAGGTGGCTGAGGCACAGTGTCAACTCTAGCTTTTAGATACCTCTGAACCAGCTGCTCGTTGTCTCTACCTAAATATGTCCGATTTAGGCTCAGCAGTTTATAACTGAGGAGTGTTATTCCACAACGTGCTTCATCTGATCTTGATGATTAAGAAGACACTGTCCTACCCGAGATTTTGCACTTAGATGAATGTGAGGTGCTCCCTTCTTAACTACGGAGAAGGACTTGATAGGATCTTATCCTTACACACACGCTACCCAGAACAAACAGAATTTGAAGGAACTGCTCCAGTTTCCAGTGTCCAACTAGCTAATATCACTGTCTCTGAGTTGTAGACAGTATTTCTAGACAAAGTACCTCCTGGATTACTTACCATTTTATTTCTTTGTATATTCCTATTGGTTAGGCACCATTATTGGAGAGTTTCTTCCATTATTGGTCCTTTAAAATACGTGTCCTACATGGGTGTAGGGCCCCTTACCCGAAAATGGAGATAGTTCTCAGTGTCCTATGGAAACTTTGTTCCCACGTTGGTGACAGATGCTCTTGTTCTGAGCCTTGTAGGCTGTCCCCGTTGGATAACTTCATAATAACTCTAGATGCTTTTGAGTCATCCACACAGAGAACCTAGAAAGAACTAGTTTATCTGAAGTCTGCTTGTCCTGATTTGTAGTTTTGCTATGGAAGTTTGTGTTTACCAAGAAAGAAATCAAAGCAAATGAGATTAAAAAAAAAAAAAAAAAAAGACTCATTCCTGGCTCATATGAAAAGCAGACATCTTTGTCAAATTCTACTGAAGTAAGCATTCCCTGGAGAAAAGTGTGGCTAGAAGTGGTGGGAGCAGCATGTAAGTGTAGTCCTGAGGAAGGTGACAACAGGAAAGGAACAATGTGACGGATAGCAATGACTTCTTTCCCTTTAGCGCAGACTTGGTCACATAAGGTGTCTCATGCCACATCCAGCGTTTCAATACATAGGGACAGAGGTGCTGACTTGGTATTTCTTCCTGCTCTTGACTCAAGAGAAATGCTATCTTCATTTTGCAACTGAAGGAATCTTAGTAACTTCTTCAAAGTTAATTCAGGAGACAGTTTTCCAGCACGCAGTTTTGCCCAGTATCAAAATAATTTGTTTGTTGAAGAAAATGATAGACTTAAAATCCAAATTGGTTTCATTTGATTGATTTCATAATAGTTCTTTCCCCCTGCTTTGTGTTTTTGGCATTCAGTGCCTCAGACCTTGAATAAAACAAATAATACTTATTAGAGAAGTCTATAGGGCAGGCAACACGGAGGATATTCAGGACTGAAATCCCTGCTGGAAGGATGTTCTCACAAGAGGTATGCTTCCATCATACAGACTTTACTGACTTTACTGATGGGCAGGGGAATATTTCTAATAATTTATATTGCATTGTATCCACAGTCGCCATTCCAACCTGAGGCAGACAAACTTAGCTACTTTATCTCAGAGACACAAGATGCTGGTGGTAAGGAGCAAAGAGATTTTTAAGAAACACCATTCCTCCAGTCAGCCTGGGTGAGGCCACTGAGCGCAGTGACTCTCAAACTGGAGCTGAGTGACAAAAGCCATGACATTATACTCATGGCCTTGAGCTGTGTCTGAAACCGTCAACAAGTTATGTTTCAGTACCAGCCATGCTTCTGTATCTGCAAAAAGAATTTAAGGTTTCCTGTGAAAAAATTTGTTTCAAACCCCTTTACTTTTGGCAGGATGTGTTCAAATTATTGCCTAAAATAATTTCCAGATAGAAAAGACATTACGTTTTGTAGAAATTCTGGAATATTTCTTTGGGTAAATGATTTGGTATTCATTTAATCGAGTTCCAGATAGTCTTTGTGATTATAAGGTGTCGAAAACTGCAAGCATTCTTGTACCTTGTGTATTCAGAGCTGGTGTGGGATTGGTAAGAGGATTATGGACGAGGGTGAAATTAAAAGAAGGCTTAGTCCTCACTTGTGAATAGTCCCTCGTATGGGGGGAAAGGAGGTCAGTAATTTTACCTGGACACTATCTATCGTTGAAACAGCCAGTAAACAAACTCACACATAAAGGTTGGCATTTTTAGTAGAAATGAGGAAGTTTATGCATTATTTCAGATCTACTCTAATGAACACCTATGGTCTGTATCAAATAAAAAATAAGTTTTAGAGATTAAGAACATAGAAAAAAGACCTGATGAGTCCACCAGGATAGGGCTGGGCCACATCTCTCTCTCCTTCTGACTTAAATATTCCTCTATTCTTCTTTCTAATATTTATAGGATGTTAGAAGATGAAATGCAAGTTAACAGTGTGGAAAAAGTTAGCTCAGCACAATTAAGAAACAAATGATTGCCCCACTTGAAGATGAAGAAACTGTAAACAGAAGTAGAAGAAGCTGTTGGGAAAGTTGTGGGGTGTTTTTTGTTGTTGTTGTTTTTTTTTTTTTTATGACACATTGCTTCTGTGAATAAATCTCTGTGTCCACTAAAACTGCGCCTTTGCTTTCTCTATTGCAAGCACCAAGAGCCTGTCACGACTTTAAGTCTCTCCTAAGCACTTTCCAAGGGAACTGGTGACATTCCTCCCCACTGTTGATACACCACGGCACCACATATTTACACGGGGCTTTTTGGCTAAAAGACCCAACTTTTCTCTCTTTGTACCCTTATTCCTACATCTTTAATACAAGGCTGGACTGTTTATGTAGTCTGTTGCCTGAGACTGTGGTGGCAGAGGGACAATATTAGGGGCAGTATTAGAATTTGTTTAAGTCTGAACCGGGAATTCCATTTGTCTTAGTGACATTAGTGTCAAACTGTTAGTGCCACACTATTTTAAATTGTGTCCAAGAGCCTGAGAGGCTTGGGCTTCTAGGTGTCATCTATAAACTTAGAAACAAACAAAAGAGCCTCTCTCCATTGAATATGGAAGCCCCAAGAGCAATTAAAAAGCAGCCTGGGACCTCACCCGGGCAACTTGGCGGAACCAGAGCTCATGGCATTCCCCTGGATATTGTTGAGATCTGTCAGAGAAAAGCTAAAGCAAATAATCAAAGGGAAAATAATTGTTCCTGGGAAAAGTTTTGTTTTGGAAGCTAAGTGTAGTGGAAAGAATTGTTGGTTCTAGTCTCAGCTCTGCCTGTAACTACGTACTTGGCATATTGCTTCAAAACCCAAGGCTCTCTTCCATAAAACAAGGAATCAAAGTAGCGTATTTCCAAATTCCCTTCCAGCTTAAAAAATTGATAAGTTTGTACTTTGGCTCACCCTTTGAAGAATTTTATTGTATTCTTTTTAATCTTCACCTGAGAATATGCTTCCACTGACTTTTGGAGAGAGAGTAGAAGAGACGGGGGAAGAGAGAGAAAGATGCTGAGATTGAGATGGTTGCCTCCCATATGCATCCTGGCCGGGGGTGGAACCTGTAACCTTTTGGTTTGCAGGCAGCACTCCGACCAGCTGAGCCACCCGTCCAGGGCTCACATTGGAAGAATTTTTGAAAATTAGAACGTGTTTACATATAACAAACATGCCTGTATATTAATCATACAGCTTGCATTTTATACCCATGTAATCACCAATCAGATCAAAATTAGAATATCTTTATCTTCCCGGGAAGTTCTCTTCTTCCTCTTCCAGCCATTACTACCTTTGATTTAGAGATTATCACTCTGACTTTCATCATCAGATTAGCTTTGAATGTGGTGAACTTCAGGCAAATGAAATCATTCTGTAATACTTATTTGTGTCTGGCTTCTTTTACTCAACTCAGTGCTTCTGAGACTCATCCAGGTATTACAATGTGTCACTGGCTCAGTTTTTAAAATATTGCAGTGTAGTGAATATAACACAGTTTATGTATCCATTATCCTATTTTCCATTTCAGGCTTATTATGAATAAAGCTGCTTTAAACTTTCCTATACAAGTCCTTTTTTTACATATTTTTTTGGACACATGCAGTCATCTCTTTGGGGCTTATACCTAGGACTGGACTTGTTGTCTCACAAGGTAGGCTTGTGTTTAGCTGCATTAAGAACTGTCAAGAAAGTATTCCAAATTATGATGCCAGTTTTCACTCGTAACATCAATGTGCAAGCTATTCTGGTGAACATAACTGGGATTTTCATTTGCCTTTCTCTGATGAACACTGCTATTGAGCTCCTTGAATACAGGGTGGGGCAAAAATAGGTTTGCAGTCGTTAGTTTAAAAGCACAGTTTATTATTTTATTATTGCTTATTAATTATTGTATTATTTTCCCAACGAACAACTGCACACCTACTTTTGCCCTGCCCTGCATACCCACTGGTCATTCAGATGGCTTCTTTTGTAGTGACCTTTTGAAGCCTTTCACTAATTGTTATTGGTCTGTTTATATTGAATTTCAGGTGTTTAAATATTTTGGATGCAGGTCTTTTGTCAGATATTTTGAAAAGATTTCCTTTCATTCTATTGCCTCTTCACTTGTTTTTGACAAGAAGAAGTACAATTTTTCCATTGCTTTTTCCTTTCATGTTTTGCATAGAAAAAACGTTTCCCTTTCTCCTGGTCTTGAAGTGATGGTTTTGGCATTTGTATTTATATCTATGATCCTTTCTAAATTACCTTTTATTCTGAAATGAGGCCAGGTTCGAGGGTTGGTTTCTTCCATACAGATAACCAGTGCTCCAGCACCGTGTATGAAAAAGCCATGCCTTTTCCTCAGTGCGTTTCAGTAATGCCTTAAAAAAAATCATATATTTTTCTGTATTCTCTATTATGTTTTATTGATTTATGTTCTGTCTTTGCACCATTATCATACTATTTTACCTCCTGTAGCTTTCTAGTAAGTTTTGAAATCTGACAGTTTAATGTCTCCACTTTTGCTTTTCATGTATATCTTGGCTATTGTAGGTTCTTCACATTCCCACTTTCAAGCAGTCTTTGTGCAAAAACTAGTTTTATAATAATATGAAGTCATTATTTGCCCTTTTAAAAATACTGTCTTTACATTTAGTACTGATAGTATAGTAGCAACAGTAGGTAAAACTGATGGAATCTTAGCATAGTAAGAGCAGTGTCAGCAAACTACACTGTGGCTGATGCTACCTACTCACACATAAAAGAAAAAAACCCACTATAATTACTTAGGAATGCCTTTGACACAATAAAAACTACTACAATTATTATATTAATTTTTTTAGATTTAATAAACTAATTCTATTAAATTTTGTTGCTTGTGTACTTCTTTTTAATATTCTGTATATCACATTGCAAGATAGATGTCCTGAGGAGATGCAATTGAACGATGGTTGTGGATTGAACCCAGCAACCATCTTTCTCCAAAGAACAACTGAAAAACCTTATTCAGACATGGGTATTTGGCAGACACTTTCTCAAAAATAAAGTAAGCGAGACACTTCAAAGAAAAGAGCTGACACGTTTATTAGCCATGATAAAATTGCAGTCTTTAATCGGTAGTTACAAATTCGAAAACCATGTATTCACCTGTATCCACCACTGTCTACATTGCAAGTTTCTTATATTTAAAGACACCTCTGTTGAGATAGATGCTGATATCAACTACAGTGACATTTTTATATCCTCTGGTAAAAATAAAGGAGGATTTGGAAGGTCTGCAATATTTTCCAAACGACCAATTTTATGATATTACAAAATTATGTATGGGTAATGGACTCATTCCAAGGTAAGATAGGAAAAGGCATTTTAATGTAAGAGAGGACAAAAGTTAATTGATATGGTCTCAGACATCATTGGAACTGACTTGTTAACATGTCATATTAAAGAAAAATAGCTCCAGAACATGAAAAGGCTCAGAATCTGAATTAGCTCCTCCCTTTTGCAGTTACATTTTTGAGGGAGGTCAACTTGTCCTCACATACTTCACCAAAACCGCGTATGGCAACAGATGGAATGCATAGGCTGATGTGAGAATCCGCCTGTTGTCTATTACAGATTTCTACTCCAAATGTAAAAATGGCATTTATACTAGTATTTATGCTGAAAGAGTTTCTTACTGTTTTTCAGTGAGTTGAAAATAAACGTTCCCAATGTTGATAGGTAAAATGCACATAAACCAAAGTTCTTTGGAACCTTGAGTTTTTAAGAGTAGAAAGTAATCCTGATTCAAAAACAGGTTTGAAACCCATTGATATATACCCCCCTCACACACATACACACATATATATGACATATATATTTATCTCTACAGAAGTTTAAATATTTGATTACAATCTCAATGAATTAGTAAATGAAATTTGGAAGGATTGACATAATTAAATATGCTAATGCATGAACCTTTTATAACTATCCATTTATTTATTTTCCTTTAATTTTTCCTAATATTTGTTAAGTTTTGACATAGAAGTCTGAAACACATTTTGTACAATTTCTTTCAACTATTTGATATAGTGTTTTATTTCATCTTCTGTTTTATTATAGTATATTATAGAATACAGTATTTTTTGCAGGTTGAACTTGTGTCTAGAAGCCTTTCTAAATTTATGTATTAATTCTGGTAGATTCCTTTGAATTTTCTATTCAATTATGTCATCTGCAAATAAAGATGGTTTTATTTATTTTCGATCTTTATATCTTTTATTTTTTTTACCCCTTATAGTTGCTTAGACTTCTAGTGTGATGTTGACTAGAAATAATGACACTGAACATTCTTATCATCTTAATCTTAGAGAAAAGTGTTTAATATTCTGCTATTAAACAGTATGTTACATATAGTATGTTTGATATGTACATTACATGTAATGAAAACCTACATTTTTATATTGTGTCATTCTTATATTAGAACCCCTATATTCTTATATTGTACCATTTCTTTACTG